ATCAAGCAAGTTATGTTTATAAGCTTATTATTATATTTGGAGTAGGTTTTAGGGCACGTGTGCATGTGTTGTGAATTGATTGATTGTTATTTCATATATATATATATATATATATATAAAACATGAAAAGTTCGTAATTATCCATCATTTAAACTTATAACTATCAAGTAAATTCTTGACTATCCATTCCTTCTTATTACTTTGCTGCTTTCTTTATTATTGTTACATGTTACTGTTAGGTGGATGTTTTGTCGTTTCAATCTTTTGTTCCATAAAACAATTTTTGTATATTTTGTTTTTCATAAAAAAAATATATAAAAATTTATCACGCATTTGATTATCATTATAAGTCAAGTCATTTAGGCTTTTTTTTTTTTTTTTTTTTTTTTTTTTTTTTTTTTCTTTTACTATTGTATAATCTTTTAATTCCTGTAGATGACTTAATTGTTCATTTATCGAATTTTTACTTAAATTTTTTTGCTATGTTTTAATTATTAATCATAACAAATTTATCATTAACTCAATTCTTATTTTATTTTAGATTGAATTAGTTTATTTATTCTTCTTATTTCTTTAAGTATTTTCATATCCGATTTCATATTTTTTAGTAGATATATTCAATAATATAAATAAAAATAATAGCAACTCACAAACAAAATATATAATTTATGATAACAAAAATTAATAAAATTATAAAATAATTTAAGTTATAAAACTATATAGAAAAATTCGGTCTAATGTTCTAATAAATTCTTCTATAGAATAAAAGTATATTCAAAATCTCTCATTAGATTGTAAGTCCAGAAGAGAAAAAATATATATATAAGAAAAGGAAAAAATGATGAAAAGTTGTACCAATTACAACCACATTTAATACTTATTGTTGTCGTCCTGATGTTGATGAAAAGTATTCGAACGGGAAGCACATCTTTGTTGGATGCATTGTGCTAGTACTCAAAGTACCATTTCCCATCTCTATTTACTTTGGAAAGTAGGAAAAAAACCTCTTTTTTTCTTTTCAATTTTTTCTTTTTTCTTGGAACTTAAAACAAACACACAACAGGGCTCAAATTCTCAACTAGGGAAAAATCTTACATCTGAGTTAAAGACCCAAATTTGTAGGACTAGACAATGTTTTTTTCTTTCTTTCTTTTTCTTAATAAAGACTAAGAAATTTAATAACGTGAAACAAACTCAACTATATGGGCAATAATTTCCTCTACACATTTTAAGAAGCTCGTCCTCACCACCAAAGACTTATACCATCCCAATCACATATGTATCACAATCTTTTTATGACACATTATCATGATAAGATTGTGCTACATATATGGACAGCACTGGTGAGAACCTAAATATTATTTACAAATTAAATATGAGTAAGAATATCACTTGTACTTACATGATGACATCATCCTTGAACTTGAAAATTTCTCGAAGCATTTGCCAGAAATATAGATTCAGTGAGTTTTTCTTTTGTGCAAACAAACTGAACAATCCATTTTGGCTTCCCCACTCATAACCATTGCCTTTGTTTAGGCTCACCGAGAAGGACATATCAGAAGCCTCCATATCAACTCCAAGACTCTCAAACAACTCTATCATGTTTGGATCCACCTGTCAAAAGACCCCATATGTTAACAAGCAATTTCGGCTATGCCAATAGAAACCATTAAGACAACATATGACAAACTACTTAGCCATTACTTACACACTCACTTTATCTCTATGCAAACTTGAATTATTAATCCTCTTCTTAAAAATGTAGAGAGTACTACAATAAGCTAAAACAATCGGTAATAAGCTTTGGTGTACATTTGGAGACAATTTTTCAAAAACTCAAAACTTTTAAACCAATCAATGGTATTAGAAGAATTTGTGTTATGTCTACACCTCTTCGTTTAGGATGGCATGCAGAAGAAAACACAAATTTAAAGTGATTTGACTTAACTCGACCTATGTTGACAGAGAAGAAAATTCACTACAAAGAAGAAAATCTTAATGAAGAGAATATGCAACTATAGAAAGTACACACTCACTCACTATGTCATATGAGAAATTACACAATGATGTTGCAAAATTATACAAAAAAACACAAGAAAGAGATCAAACATACACAACAAGACCATACAGATTTTACTTGGTTCACAAAAAATCTAAGGCTACATCCAAGGGTTGTAGGGATTTTATTATGATGATCAAACAACATCAGATATAGAGAGTTCAAAATGAATAATATCCTCGCATTAGGGCAAAATAACAAGTGAAAAAATTACCAAAATACCCCACATGACAAGTTGGATCCGCAGAGTTTGGCTTTTGTTTATAATATCAATTAGGCTCCACACTACTCATCATATGATAGAGTTTGAACACCAGACTGTCTACGTTTACTCTCTACCTAAGGTATGGTGTTGGACACCTGAGCCTTTCACGAGACCCTTGCTCATCATCGGTGTTCCACCCACCCACTCATCATAGCTTCCCCACTACTCACTAGTTTCTATGAGGTTATATCTCTCTACACTTGGTGCCTATTTGCACCCTCTCTTTTTAATCTCTCTCCTTCATTCTCTTTCCTTCCCTGCCCTCTAAACTCAATTCTCTATTTATAGATCTCCTAAACCATAGCTTGGTGAACAAGTAATACAAAACCTTTTTAGGCAAGGAATGCAACTACTTAGGGCTCAAAGACAATTACTTTGAGCCCAAGTTTAAGAAAGTGCTCCCAACCTACTACAATTCAAAGTCCAGCCCAATAATAATTTAAGACATAAATAACACATGTAAAGAAGGGAGATGAAACTTTGATATATGTTGAGTTTCTCTAACAATTTTACCTAGCTTTTTGGAAAATTTGTATTGAAACGAAGTTAGACTTGTGAAATATATTTTATAATTGGCTAATTTCGTTGTCAAAACAAGTCTAGTCGAGTTGTAATTTTTAGATTTAAAATTTCAAAAATTGAAGATCGAATGCGAATTTGAAGAAGTTTAAGTGTTTATGGGTTGGTATACTCTGAGATGATGAGAACAATGCTTTAGGAAGGTATGTGGATGAGTGAGAACACTTAGGGAATTTAAAAGGTTGAAAGAAACAGAGATTTCACTTCTGTCCATTAGGAACTGGTAGGAGAATCCTTGAACCGGTAGCAAACCTTGGTCCACATCAGGTTTGGTCATCGCTAACCTTGAACCGATACCACATTTAGGAACTAGTAGCCAAAGTACGTCGAAAAGGCTTCTGACCTTCTTGAACTGGTTCCAAGTTTGGGAACTGGTACCAAGAGTCCTGACAGCATTAGAACTTTCAGTTTCTTCTTCTGTTTGTTCCCTTTTTGATCCCAACTTCTTTCCAAGTCCTGTGCACGAAATTTTTCATATTTTCAGAGGGATTATGACATTCTAAACTCTATATAAACCTTGGTAGTCATCTAGGTTTATTCATGGCTTTAGGGAACATTAATTCTATATTTTGAGAAAGCCTTTTAGAGAGAGAAAATTCAGAAAATTAAATCTGATTATTCTGAATTTATTTATGAGAGCATACACATATATTCATGAGTGATTTAGTGGTGTTGTTCTCTATCTCATTGGAATTGGAATTATATTGAAGATTTAGAGATTCAGACGAAGAACAGGATTTAATTCTTCTACATCGAGTTCAGATCTTAAAGAACAGAAGTAAAAGCGATCACACTTTAAAAGGGTTGGAGCATTCAAGGAGTGTTGTCTAATCTACTTGCTACTCTTCTACAAATATCAAGCATAAGCCTAAGGTCAAGTTACTGTTGGACGGAGAATCGTAAAGCCAGATGATTGTCAGCAATTGGTGTTTAGTAGAACTATAGGGTGTAAGCCAAAGTCAAAGTTTGGTGTACTTTGTTTCAAACATAGTGGATCGGTTTACTTTGGACTGAATAGTTCACGAGATTTTTCCCATGCAAACAGTTGACGTATTTTATCAACTAGGGTTTCCTCGCAAAACATTCTGGTGCAATATCTCTAAGCTTTTACTTGCTTTACTTTATAGTATTTATATTTGTGATTGTGGATGTTTAGATTGATCATATAATTTAATCAATCATAAATTGAGCAAGTTGACCTAATAATCAGATCTAGATCGTTAAAGGAGTTAATCACAATTAAAATCAACTAACTGTGTCTGCACCCCGCGTAACTCTATTTTCACAATTTGGTATCAGAGCTGGATACTCGATATACATAGTAGATCATATTTGTTGATTTATTGTGGATTTTCACATCATGTCTGAAAATTCAGTTTTAGTTGATGTGTTATCTTTACCTCTTCTTTTTGATTCTATCACAAGCATGCAAGTTGAATGGTCTAAGTTCAAAAAAGATTTTGAAAATCTGTTAGAGAAATTGAATCTTGCGAAACTTGATAGAGATATTTATAAGATAGAAGTTTCTGTCTCTAATAAGAATTTGGAATAAAATGGCCATAAGAATTTAAATCTTCTTCATAACATTGATTTTCTGGAAAAAGAACTTAAGAAGGTAAATTTATTTAATAAATCATTGGAACTTAAAATTAATAATTTGAGTAGTGAATTTGTTAAATCAAAACAGTCTTTTTAGAAAGTTGATATTGACACTTGCAAAATTGATAAGTTGAAAGGAGTGGTTGAAAATAATAGTCATAACAAATAATTGGTTTCAACTTCAAAGGATTTGTATTTTCAAAAATCGAGAAATGTTTTTGTGAAAGTTGAAACCAACTTTATGTTATTTCTAATTCTCCTAAACGTATTTCAACATGTCATTTTTATGGTGAAAAAGGGCGTATCAAGTATAAGTGTCAGAAAAGAAAAATTGAACTAGGAAAGAAATTGAAAAGTCTAGAAAGTTTAAATTTGAAGAAGAAGATAAATAGGACTGTTGAGCCTTGTGACACTTTGCCTAAAACAATAAAGAAATCATTGCATAATGAATTTAAAATTGTTTGGGTAAAGAAAGAGAATTTTAAATGCCTTGCCATGCATACAACACTTAGAGCACTTGATCCATGTGGTTGGTACTTTGATAGTGGTTGCTCTAGGCATATAACAGGGGATAGAACATTGTTTACCACTTTTAAGGGTTGCTCAGTTGGTACTGTTACTTTTGGTGATGGTAATACTTCTACTATAAGTGGTAAAAGTAAGATCAAATTTTCAGAAATTGGGGAGTTAAAGAATATTCTATATGTTAAAGGTTTAGCTGCTAATCTGTTAAGTATTAGTCAAATCTATGATGAGGAGTTTTAAGTTAATTTTACTCAACAATGGTGTTTTGTAACTAATGAAAAATGTCAATGTATCTTGAAAGGAACTAGAATTTCTGATAATTGCTATGTTGTGTTTTCAGATCCTTCACTGATGTGTTTTTCTGCAGTTACTGATGAGGCAGTTTTTTGGCATAAAAGACTTAGACATATGAATTTTAATGATTTAGCAAATTTTTCTAACAATAATTTTGTTCGAGATTTGCCAAAATTGAAAATGCCTAAGAATGAAATATGCGGTCCATGTCAATTAGGAAAACAAACTAGAGTGTCACATAAGAGATTTATTCATAAAGCCATTTCTTGACCTTTAGAATTGATTCGTATGGATTTGATGGGTTGCATAACACCTGATAGCATTGGAAGAAAAAGATATTTGCTTGTTATGGTTAATGATTTTTTTTAATTTACTTTTGTGGCATATTTGAGAGAAAAATCTGATACTTTTGTGAATTTCAGGTCTATTTGCCAACTTATTCAAAATGAGAAGGGATATCGAATTAATCGGATTAGGAGCGACAATGGAGGTGAATTCAAACCTAAGGACTTTATTGAATATTGTGATAAGAATGGGATTAAGCATGAATTTTCAGCACCTAAAACTCCACAACACAACGGTGTAGTGGAAATGAAAAATAGAACAATTGCAGGTATGACACGTATTATGTTTCATAAAAATAAAATTGCTAGTCACTTTTGGGCTGAATCGGTACGTACTGCTTGTCATATCCTAACTAAAGTTTATCTTAGGCTTGTAACTAAAAAGACTTCATATGAATTGTGGTATGATAGAAATCCCACTGTTAAATACTTTAGAGTTTTTGGAAGTAAATGTTATATCCTTAGAGATAGAGAACACTTGGGAAAATTTGAATCCAGAAGTGATGAATGTGTATTTTTGGGTTATTCACAAACAAGTCGGGCTTATAGGGTTTTTAATCTTAGAACCAAAGTGGTCATAGAGTCTATAAATGTGATTTTTGATGATACAAAATCTAAGATAATCTCTTCTCAACTTGACGACGAAGAAACTAATTTTGAAATTGCAGGAGAAAAGAAAGAACCTACAATTCATGAGAAAAAAAGAGTTGAGAATTTAGGTGGAAAAGGTGAAGAGGTTGAAGAAGATGAGAATGAGGAATTAGAGGTCACCCCTGATGAAGGAATTCTTGCACCATCCTTAGACATTCCCACATCTAGCAGTTCTAGAGTTCGATCAAGTCATCCAGTTAATAATGTGATAGGTCCATGGGATTAGTATGGTACTAGGAGTACAGTCCGTGATAATTTAGGACACTCATACATTATAGATGACATAGGATACTCATGTCACATGACTCAGTTTTTGAATCTAAGAATGTTGATGAAGCTCTTCAAAATTCTGATTGGCTTATGGCTATGCAAGAAGAATTGCTTCAATTTGCGAAGAATGATGTTTGAGAATTAATGCCTCGACCTAGTGATGTTAATATTATAGGGACCAAATATATCTTTAAAAATAAACTTGATGAACATGGTCTTGTGATGAGAAATAAAGCTAGATTAGTTGCACAAGGATACACTCAAGTTGAAAGAATTGATTTTGGTGAGACTTTTACTCATGTTGCTTGACTTGAGTCTATTCGACTTCTTTTTGTTCTTGCATGTCACTTTAAATTCAAATTGTTTCAAATGGATGTTAAAAGTGCTTTTCTAAATGGTATTTTGCGGGAAGAAGTTTTTATAGCACAACCAAAAGGTTTTTTGATTCACATAATCCTGATTTTGTGTTTCATCTTAAAAAGGCTCTTTATAGTTTAAAGCAAGCACCTAGAGCATGGTATGATAAGTTAATTTCTTATTTACTGCATAAGGGCTTCAGAAGAGGAGAAACTGATAAAACAATGTTTATTTTAAGGAAATGAAAATTTTTTCTTGTTACTCAAATATATGTGAATGATATTATTTTTGGTGCTATATGTGATAACCTTGTTCATAATTTTTCTAAAGATATGAGTAATACTTTTGAATGAGCATGGTTGGTGAACTAACTTTCTTTCTAGGTCTACAAGTGAAACAACTTGATGATGAGATTTTTATATCTCAATCAAAATATGCAAAGGTGCTAGTTAAGAAATTTAGTATGAAAGATTCAAAGCATGTTCAAACTCCTATGAGTACTTTATCCAAATTGGATAGAGACTCTGATCCTAACAAGGTTGATCATTTCTTGTATAGAAGTATAATTGGTAGCTTGTTGTATTTGGCAGCAACTAGGCCAGATATTTCATTTAGTGTAGGTGTTTGTGCTAGGTATCAAGTTGATCCTAGAAAACAACACATTCTTGCAGTCAAGCGGATTATTCGTTATGTCAATAGTACATTGAATTATGGATTGCGTTATTCTTCTGAGTCTAACTCTGAGATTGCAGGCTATACTGATGTTGATTGGGCTGGAAATAAGGATGTTAGAAAGAGTACTTTACGTGGTTGTTTCTATGTTGGTACTAATCTTGTTTTATGGTACAGTAAGAAGTAAAATTGCATCTTTATCATCTTGTGGGGCTGAATACATTGTTACTAGAAATTGTTGCAACAATTGCTTTGGATGAAACAGATGCTTCTGGATTATAAAGTTGATCAAGGTATTCTTGCTATCTTTTATGATAATACTAGTACAAGTAATATTTCAAAGAATCCAGTTTTGCATTCTAGGACTAAGTACATTGACATTCGACATCACTTTCTTAGGGAACTTATTGAACAAAATGTCATGTCTTTAGAAAAAGTGCATATTGATCAGAATTTGGCTGATATTCTCACTAAACCATTAAATGCTCCTAAGTTTTCTTATTTTTGGAAATCTATTGGTGTCTGTTGTCTTGATTAGATGCATTGTAAAGATATAATCTAGAAAGGATTTTTATGCATATCTTGAGTGTCTAGATTATGTTTTTAGGAAGTTAAGTAAATCATATTGATTGAGTATGTTGAACACAAGGAGTTTACTGACACATAGATTATCTATGGAAAACATATAATGGCTATGAATTGATGAAATTGGTTTTGCTTATTTATTTCGTATAGTAAATGAATTATTGATAGTACATTTATTTGAGATGTCATTATTTTGGTCAAAGATAATGTTGATATTATTGATCGTTGTCTTGAAATTTAAACTTGATTTATGTGTTTTAGACCAAAAGAATGAAAAGAAAAGAAATTGAAAAATAGCTTGGAATCAAAAATATTTTTTGTTTTGAAAGAGGTGAGATGGAAAAGGGTACATTTGGGATTTTTTCGAAAGTTACCTTGACTCGAAACAAATGGGAATAAGGGAAAGAGCTGGCTACCCATAAGAATGAAAACCGCCAATGTGCAAAAAGAAAAATGGAGCACAAAGAGACAAAAAAAAAAAAAAATATCTTTTGCACATGTTGATTGTATGATTTCTAAGGATATGTGATATCATTGATTTATTATCTGAAATCTGAACAATTGATAGATCATATGTTTTTGGAACTTGGTGTTGATTTTACTACACTTACTAAGTTTGTGGAACTAAAAATAATTAATCTTGGTTATTTCTGTTGATACATATAATCTTGTGGAGTCTACCTTCTAATTGGTTTCATTTTATAAGATTTATATGGTTGGTTGCTTCCTACTTCTAGGATATGTCTTCCTTAAGACCCTTGTTAATTTGTGACAAAAAGGGGGAGAAAGTTGAGAAACTTATCATTCAGGGAGAGAAATACTTTTCGTGTTAAGGGGGAGAACTTTTTGCATTGAGGGGGAGAACCATTATTTATTGCATTACATTGCATTGATATTCAGGCATTATTAGCTTTGCTATTTTATGCTTGTGTTTATTTTCTTGATTAAGCTTCACGGGTAGTTGTGTTTGAGTTAATGTGTAGATTACAGGTTGTTACATGTGATGAAGTTTCATGAGGTTCAAGAAAATTTCCGCGGTTTAATTCCTTTAACAATCATTATAATTTACTTTCGTGCTTGGATAGATTGCTAAATTATTTTTAGGATTTTGTCACGAAATTGCCAAAGGGGGAGATTATGAGATATATTTTATAATTGGCGAATTTCGTTGTCAAAACAAGTCCAATCGAGTTGTAATTTTTAGGTTCAAAATTTCAAAGATTGAAAATCGAATGCGGATTTAAAGAAGTTCAAGTGTTCATGGGTTGCTACACTCCGAAATGATGAGAACAATACTTTAGGAAGGTATGTGAGTGAGTGAGAACACTTAAGAAGTTTAGAAGGTTGAAAGAAATAGAGATTTCACTTCTGTCCATTGGGAACCGGTAGGAGAATCCTTGAACCGGTAGCAAACTTTGGTTCACAATAGGTTTGGTCACTGCCAACCTTAAACTGATACCATAGTTGGGAACCGATAGCCAAAGTATGTCGAAAAGGCTTTTGACCTTCTTAAACCAATACCAAGTTTGGGAACCAGTACCAAGAGTCCTGACAACATTAGAACTTTCAGTTTCTTCTTCTGTTTGTTTCCTTTTTGATCTCAACTCTTTCCAAGTCTTATGAATGAAATTTTTCATATTTCCAGAAGGATTATGACATTCTAAACTCTATATAAACCTTGTTAGCCATCTAGGTTTATTCATGACTTTAGGGAACATTAATTCTATATTTTGTTAAAGCCTTTTAAAGAGAGAAAATTCATAGAATCAAATCTGATTATTCTGAATTTATTTATGAGAACATACACATATATTCATGAGTGATTTAGTGGTGTTGTTCTTTATGTCATCAGAATTGGAGGTATATTGAAGATTCAGAGATTTTAGATGAAGAGCAAGATTTAATTTTTCTACATTGAGTTCAGATCTTGAAGAATAGAAGTAAAAGCGATCACACTTTACAAGGGTTGGAGCATTCGAGGAGTGTTGTCTGATCTACCTGCTACTCTTCTGCAACTATCAAGTATAAGCCTGAGGTCAAGTTGTTGTTGGATGGGGAGTCGCAAAGCCAGAGGATTGTCAGCAGTTGGTGTTTGGTAGAATGATAGGGTGTGAGCCAGAGTCAAAGTTTAGTGTACTTTATTTCAAGCATAATGGATTGATTTACTTTGGACTGCACAGTTCACGAGGTTTTTCCACGCAAACAGTTGATGTATTTTATCAACTGGGATTTCCTTACTAAAATCCTGGTGTCATCTCTAACTTTACTTTACTTTATTTTAGATTGCATGATATTAATTTATTAATTACTAAAATAAAGTAAGTTAAAAAAACACAAGATCTATTTTAAAAATAATTAAAACTTTCTAAGTATATTCCGTTGTGTACAACTCACAAAACCTTACTCCTGATATTATAGCCTAGATCAAGAAGGAAGTGGGTCAAAAGACAAAAGATTTGAAGACGTTAATGCCCGCTAACCTAGACACTCAAGTAATATCCCGAATGGTGAAATCCCATTCATTGATGAAATACTCTGGTAAAAAATGCTAAAGAAGTTTGTGATGCCAATTTTTATGCTCTTTAATGGAACTAAGGACCCATTCGAGCATATACACCATGTTCAGTAAAAGATGGCAGTGGACATAAGAGATGAGCACTTGATGTGTAAGGTATTCCCTATGAGCCTAACCGGACCAGCCCTCCTCTGGTTCATGCAACAACTACCTAGATCGATCTCTAGTTTTCTATTGTTTATTGCTCAATATTTTAGAAATCGAAGGCAGAATAAAACTATATATTGCATGTTCACAATGAGGAAAGATAAAGGAGAATAACTACAAACATTCCTCTCAAGGTTCAATTTGGAGATGTCCATGGTGGATAGGTGTGATCAAATTGCCATAGTGGAAGCTTTCAAGGTGGCAATGACCCAAAACATAAAGTTTCATACTTCTCTAGTAATGAAATCCACCTGATATGGGTGCCCTAAATTCCACAGTGCAGGGTTGCTTGAGGTTAGAGGAAGATGAGGCTATTTAACTGAGGTCTACACTGATCAAAGTGGAAAACCAAACGTGAGAACACATGAATAGCCAAAAATCTCAAAGGTTTCAACATCTTCGGTGAGTAAAACACCATAAGAGGTAGGTTGAGGCCCTATTAGATAAGAGAGAGCTCACATAGTATTTGGCAAATAGAGATCAATAGAAGTATAATGAACTAATTCAGCACCCACAGAAGAACAACTAGAAGGACGTGTAACCTGTCTGGGTTATTTATTCCATTTGCGGCAGACCCGAAATGGATAACGAGTTCGAAGATATCCATCAGTCGCGATTACAATAGGCCTATAAGTTAAGAAGAGTAGGAGATGTCAATACAGTTAACAACCGAATGGGGACCTTGTAGAACTCTTTCCACGATGAGGAATTTCAGAGAATGTAAGCCCTACACGATGATCTGCTGGTCATAAGCATGATGGTGGCAAACTACCCGATCAAAAGGGTGTTGATCAATCCCGGA